AATGCTGGGGAAAAAAAAAATTCTATTGAAAGCAAAGTTACTACTCTTGGTACTAACCTTTTATAAATGTTTAAACCAGTAAATAAATTCTGGAGCGTACCAACAACCACCTTTATTCATTTTCCCAATCAGAAAATGATACCATATTTTTTTCAAAACTCATCATGTACTTCTTTGACTAAAAGGACTGTTACAATGTTCTGATAAATTATCGACTAAGGCAAATCTTCTGGAAGGAGTCCTGGTACCGTAGTGGGTTACGAGTTGGGTAGCTAATCATGAGGTTAGCAGTTCAAATCTACTAGCTACCCTGTAGGAGAAAGATGAGGCTTTCAGCTCCTGTAAAGCTCTGCAGACCAGAAATCCTATACATGGTTGCTATGAGTCGGAACTGAACTGGGCAGTACACAACCACCACCCACAGGGCAAACCATGAAAAGCAGATTAGTGTCTCTTTTTCAGGGCGTCAAATTTTTGTATATATCCATCATAACAATATCTAGACAATAAGCCTAAATATCCAGAATAAAAACATTTTAAAAAGTTAAATAAATTATGCTAAATTCATAAATGGAATTTTATGAAGTGACTAAAAATGTTTTCAAATCATATTTAAAGATGCTGTTGTATTATTAAGTACCACTGAGTCGGTTCTGACTCATAGCAACACCATATAGGGTTCCCAAGGACCGACTGGTGAGTTTGAAGCACCAATCTTGTGGTTCAAATAGACCTTGTAGATCCTACAGTGCCACTCTATTTAGAAATGTGGAGAAATAAACGCCCATGATTTTGTATGAATGGAGGAATAAAAAAAACTTGGAGCCAAGTTCCTCTTAAGGCACTTTTTCTTGAAGATCAACCTTAATCAATATGTTGCTGTTATTATATGCCATAGAGTCGGTTCCAACCCACAGCGATCCTACATAGGGTTTCCAAGGAGCGGCTGGTGATTTTGAACCCCTAACTTTGTAGTTCAAACCGACTTTGCAGTCCAGCACATTAACCCACAGCACATAGATTCTATACTACTTTCACCTTCACTTTCTCAAAAGCAAGAGCAAGTAAGTGATCATCTGCTTTAAGATTTACTGGACCAAACACAGTCTTCAGTATCTGAAGCAGTAGCAAGCAGAAGAGAACAGCAGCAAGGAAATATGGGGAAGAATAATTTCAGTGGGCAGGTGAACCTGAGAAGAAGACAAATCACCTACAGAAAGGAGTGTCACATCAAGGGACAAATGAACAAACGACGTGCTTCTAGAACCTCTGGGCCTTCCTTCTGCCACATTCTGCCCAGGGTTGCTGCCTTCCCCTGCCTGCCCAGAAACCACTTCAAGAAAGCAGCTGTTGGATGCCATCAAGCCCATTTTAACTCATAGTTGATGTAAGAACTGACCCCTAGGGTTTAGGAGGGCCATAGAAGAATTGATGCTTTTGAGTTATGGTGTTGGAGGAGAATACTGAAAGTGCCATGGGCTGCCAAAAGAACCAACAGATTTGTGTTGGAAGAAGTACAGCCAGAGT